GCTGGTGCCCTCCCCTTCCCTGGGGGTCTTCAAGAGAAGGTTAGATAGGCATCTAGCTGGGGTCATCTAAACCCAGCACTCTTTCCTGCCTATGCAGGGGGTCGGACTCGATGATCTATTGAGGTCCCTTCCGACCCTAACAACTATGAATCTATGAATCTATGGGTTTGGGAAGGAAGACCTTGGTTTATTGAGGGAACACAAGTGCCATGGTCCAGGCCTGCTTAGAGGCCCATCCCAGCAAAAGGAATAGCAGTTTTAGCCCATTGGCAGGAGGGCAGGGAATAATCTGGAGTTTCTGTTCCCCACACAGGAGGTGCCTGGTTCCTGAGCAAAGATGAGGAGCAGCCTCTTGCGGAAGGGCCTGCAGACCTGGAACCGCCACAGATGTCCCCAGGGAGTTTGGATGAGATGGACTCCCTGAGACCTGAGAAGGAGCAATGGCACAAGAGTCAGGTGAGGCCCCAGAAGGAAAACGTCGTAGTGAACCAGTTGGGCATGAGAGTGTAGAAGGGGACAGAGCCCAGAAGGAGGATGCAGGGAAGAATTTGTGGAGCTGAGGGACATAAAGAGCCACCGGAAAGAGGCACTGCATCCCAGGCAAGAGACTGGGGAGGGCCTCAGGGGAAATCAGGAGCTCACTGGCAAGCACAGGGGCATAGCCCAATCCTGCCACAAGGTCAGGAAAACCTTTAATTGCCCATCACTCGTTGCTCTTCATAAGATAAGGCACACTGGGGAGAAGGCTCATATATGCATCAAGTGTGGGAAGACCTTAACCTGCCTTTTGACCCCGGTTGCTTACCGCCAGATCCAATCTGGAGAGCACCCCACTGCTTCACTAAATGGGTGAGGAGCTTTGTGTGCCCTCAGCCCCTGTGAAGCACCTACACGTCCACAGGGGAAAGCGTAAGTACTGCTGTGCCAAGTGTGTTAAGACCTTCACCCATTTCTTCTCCCTGTCTCAGCATTGGTGCATCCACCTGAGGAGGGAGACACATCACTGCACTGGGTTCAGGAAGAAGTTCATGTGCTGGCCAGGGCTTCATTCGGGCCTCCACCCTGGCCCAGCATCAGTTTATCCACACAGGGAAGAAGCCACATCATTGCTCAGAGTGTGGGAAGAGTTTCAGACAGGTCTCTGACCTTATCAAACACCAGCTGATCCACACAGGGGCG